TTCATTAATCTAGTTACTTAAACTTAAAACAAAATTTGTTTAATGACCAGACAAATTACTTTTGTGAGAATGTTCTCACTATATATCAATAGTTGCTTTCAATAATATAGTACATAAGTAATTGTTTTAAATGATATGCATACTATATATGATTTTGTATTTTATTTAGCTTCTGTTTCAAAGATTTAATAGAGATATCATCACAATTGATTAAATAAATTTCATTTAATGTCGCATAATTAATTAAAACAGGGCCTTCTTTGTTTGTCAGAAAACACAAAAAGACGTCAGCCATGAAATCTGCCCAATGTGATCCTGACACGTCTAATCAGGATATCTTTGCTGGACTGTTAAGTGATGATGAAAAGATGAACGTAAAAGATGCTGAGGATGCTGATGATGATGACATTGAAATCAGTGTTTCCACTGAATACGTTATTATGGTTGAAGAGAAAGACCTATTCATGGAAGCAAGGAATATTAATGCCATACTGCCATTGCAGGGACACATTATTGTATGCAGTTATGAAAGGAATGACATCATAGTTTCAGTTTACCGAGGAAAAGTTGATGGAATGGAGAGGAAAGACACTAATGCTTTCCTGCTCTATAGGACATTCATTTCATTGAAACAGACACTTGGTGGAGGCTTGAATGAAGTAGCTTCTCAGACTTTATATACACCTAGAAATAGAAATTGTATTCTTGTCTGTTCCATGCCTTCTAGTGTTGATAAACCAAGGGTACATTCTGAGAAAATTCTTTTTCTAGAACCAAGCTATTTCAGCATGTTATTTGGGCCAGAGAATTGTTTGACCGATTGTCCTGTAATACTCATGAGTACACCAGATGGAAGGATATTTTATTTGCCAATGAAAAATCTGAAAAATGACATTCCTGCTGGAGGATTCAGTTTGCCAATTTTTCCTTTGTACAATATGGAAGAGAGGCTCATGAATATTCATGATATGTATTTGCATTCACCAAAGATGGATGCAGTGACTACTGAAGAAGCTCCTAGCAATGCTCTGGTTCTAGTTGGGAATTCTGGGAAAATTGTCATTATTTCAAATCAGAAGGGAAGATTGAATTTCAAGGTTTATAATGTCAGGGGACCCGTCCTGTGTTCTAGTGTGCATTGTACTTCACAATTACTTGTTTATTGTACACAGAGCAACACATACATTGCAAGGATAACAAATGCAAATTCATGTGATGCTAGGAACAGCAGCAAATTCAACAGCCATGCAGCTCTTCTACCAAATGTTCTCACCCCTGTTGACACTGGAATATGTGGTGTACTGGATGTAATATGTACAAATACAGGACATGAGGCAGGTATGATGTTCCATATCACATGGTATACATGTCTGGTAAACCAAAAACCATATCACAATTCAAAATTCCATATCACAATTCAAAATTCAATGCATTGTGGAAGTTTGCAGAGTTGTGTTGGATGTTTCGGTCAAAACTATCCAATAATGCACTCAAATTTGGAAATGTATATGGTCCATGGTTACATACAAATAAAGCGTATGAAACATTAGTGCTGTAACCATGGTTACACATTGATTATGTCATACAACTAAACCTTATGGAACATTAGTGCTGTAATTGCATTATATTGTTCAGAATTCATTCTCAAAGATACATGTATATGCACATACACTTGGGGAAATTATGGGTCGCATTCAATTTGGTTAAATAAGATTTTTTGTATTTGTGATATAAAGAATATCATATACCAAATAAAGAATAACTAAAATATATGGAAAAATATTAAAGAAATATTAAAAGAAAAAAATCCCATACTTTAATCTAATTTAGATTTGGCTGATCTTATTTACCTTACTTTATTTGCTACTACAGTTATTTTTCTATGGTTAAAATAAGGTAAATTTTAATGATTTTAGTATAATAGTACAACAAAATTTGATTTTGGGTTTATATGCACTTCTTTTGGAAATGTGCTTCTAATAGAGCAAATATGGTAATCATTTTTCTCTTGAATAACTTTACAATTTGTTCATTTCATATCAGGTAGTGTGCATTTATCAGCACTCAAACACAATGGCCAAGTTGTGAAAATTACCATGAAAACTGGTAACCATGAAGACGACATTACAACTTACACAACGGCAGCCATTGCTGGTCAGAAAATTAAAGAGCTATTGAGCCTAATTAGCAGTGTGTCAGAGAAATTGGTAGAACAGAATACCAAGATAGATACAGTGAATTGTGCTTTGGAAGAACTGAACCAAGCCGCTCATATAGCATGTACGATCAATGATGGTAGTGTGGATAGCTTGGAGTCAGGCTTCAAATGTGTCGTAGTTCCCTATGTGAAAGACAGAGGGTGTACGTGTGAGTATGGTGTGACTATTAAGTTAACTAATGATAGTCCCTGGATACTCACTTCATCTTGGTGTTGGATAATATGCATACAGGATCGACAAGTCTGGTCTGAAGGAACAGCAAAGCAAATCACAAAGTCTGTTCATTTCAATCATTTACAACCTGGTGATTTTCATGAAATTGACATCCCTTTGGATTGCGATGATGACGTACAGTTTTCTCTTCCAATCACAGTCTCTAGTTATTTGCATTTCAACACGCTGCAAGTCATGGAAAGACTTGACATAAATGCAGCATTTCCAGAATCAGATATCACATTATCAGAGAATGGAATATGCTTACAGCTCTCTACAGACATGCTGGATGTTTTACATTTCCTCAGGACTTTACCGCGAACTGCTTTACTAACGTCTGTTGGTTGTAGAGGATTGTTTAGTAGACAGGGTTCAAAGTTAGAGTACACACTGCATCAGATTGCACAGCATAGACCAGCATGTGAGAGTGGACAAGCTGATGCGAAAACACTTGAAGGACACAGATTTACAGCCAAAGTGTTGATATCAACAGAGTTAGTACACCATTACATTGTAAAAGAAGGAGATCTCATTACTGAAGGTAAATGTCTTTTGTAAATTTTCAAAATTCATTACTATTGAATATTTTGTTTCCGATTGGAGTAAATTTTCACTGATTAATAAAAAAAAAAATAGAAAAAAGTAGATTATATGTCAAATAGGTGAGAATAAGACTTTAATAATGTTGACCCAATTTGATGTGTTCAGCTAAATTAAAATACACTGTACTGTACTGTAATTGATTTTACGGTACTACGACAACAATATTACATACAGTGATTTTTTTGCAAACTGAGCAATTGAAAATATGGCGTGATTTACAACAATCTACTGTAAAATACTTATTTTAGCTGGAATTAATTTTCACTGAAATAACTTTTTGTGTTTTTTGTATGGAATTTATTTTCTCTAATTTTAGACGTGTTGAATGCTATTTGCTCGATTTTATTTTTACTGAATCATCTTGTCTATGAAAATAGTGAAAATTAAGTATTTTACACAATAATCACATAATTTTGGGTGTAACATTTTGCACATTTTAATTAATTTTTTAATGATTTCCTAATTAATTTTACACTAGACATAATTTCCCATCTTTGCAACAATATACTAGTCTAGCTGTTACAAACAAGCTTTGATATTTAAAGAGTTAAAATCTGTTACTGTAACAGTATTATAACAAACTCTTTGGGGGCATTCAATTGGGTATGTTATGAGTGAGAGATGTACAATGTGCTCATTATATCAAGCTAGACTGGGTACATGACTAAAACTGAAAGACATTTGATTTTGACAAGATAACTATTAAATGTTTTTTTTTTTGTTACTAATAGATAATAAATCAGCATTGCAGTCACAGTTACTGAATCTGCTTTTCACCAAGAATGTCATGCTTCCGGATTCAGAGGTCATTCAACTCTTGACACCACAAGGTTTTCATATCACAGTGATGTGTAATCTAGTCGTAATGGATAAGAATCAAGTAATTGAATTAAAAATTATGACGGATTCTGTCGCTCTCCTTTGTCAGTTACACAAAGCTGTGCTCATTCGCTTCAAGGTGTGTTACATTAACATAATTAACCTAATTATCTTCAATAATGTTCTTTCACAGCTTATATCCTGTTAACAATAATGATTCTACCGTTTGACTTGAATGGATTTAGTTAGTACATGTATGCTACTGCCACATGGCAAGGCATAAATAGTTCTGCGATATTTTGCATTGCTAAATTCTTTTGTGTTGTATTAACGGGAAGTCACTTTTAATCTTTTATATCTTTGAATATTTTCAGAGTATTATGAAAACTTGTAGCAAGACTACTAATACCTCTGTCTATAAATTAAAACAGGAAATGCTCAGATTGCAGGTTTGTAAATAGTTTGCTTTAAATATATAAGTATATTTTGTATCATGGTGTAATTGGTATAGTGTAAAATCAGTGTAGTGCAGTGTGATAAGTGTTAAGCCATTACTGCTAATGTGGCTTGTGTAATCAGAATGTAGTGTAATCAGAATGCAGTGTAGTCAGTGTAGTGTAACCAGTGTAGTGTAATCAGAATGCAGTGTAGTCAGTGTAGTGTAATCAGGATGGAGTGTGGTCAGTG